TGGCTCTGCGTGTGCGTGGAGCTCCCTGCTGGCCACGCGGCTCATCCAGAGCTGCCAGGCTGGGGACACGGGCTCCATGGGAGAGCGCGGCGCTCCGCAGTGCTGAGGGCACCCTGGGCACTGACAGGGAAAGCGCCACAGCTGGGAGGAGGGATCTAGAACAGCCTGTTTTCTGCTGGGAGCAAGGAAGAATTAGGTTTCATTTATTTGATTGTGCTTCTGGGTAAGGAAACTGATTCTCCTCTCCTGAGCCCCTTGGTTGCCTCCTGCTGCTGCAGAGCAGGGGGTCCCTGGGCCCATCTCGGCCATGTCGGTGCTCAGCCACTGCAGCCGGGGACGCAGGGATCTCTGCCCGCGCGCTTGGAGGACTGAAAGGGGATGCATTTAAGGATACTTAAATCGTAAAATTACAAAGTTGCACAGAAGGATTCTTTCAGTTCGTGCAAACTTAGTGAAGCCAGAAATGCTTTTTTCTTTATTTTTGGTAACAGTGTGCGTGTCTGCCTGTATAAGGACAGGGAGCCTGTGGTGCAGACGGTACTTTCCAAGTTCCCTGCAAGGCTCCATGTTTAAGGCGGTGTCGGCATAAAAAGAAAACAGGGATTTTTTTGCACAACCTGCCGGGGAAACACAGATGGGCTGGGCTGGGAGCGCGGCCGGCACCAGCGCCCGCCGTCAGAGCAGCCGTTACTGTCTGGCTGCGCGAAGCGGCTGCCAAACGCATCGAGGAAGAAATGTCATTGCCAGGATTAGAGACCAGGCTCAAGCAGCAAGCACGATACAGAGCAAAGTGTTTTTACATGCATGACTCGTCTCTCTCGCTCCTGCTGCTGCTTACTGTCTCGCTGCCAAATCCTAAAACTGGCCCTGGGCCCGTAGCGCTTAAGTAAAACCATGTCCACACTGACACAAGGAGCGCCAGGCCCTTGGGGAGGCGCAGACACGCTCCCGTCCCCGAGGACCCCGGGTGATGTGTTTAACAAAAGCTCAGTTTGGGTCATGGTAGATTCTTGAGGCTTTCGCATGTACAGGAGCGTGGAGGGAGGCTGCAGCGGGCGGCTCCACAGCCTCTCTCTCCTCA